AAGTGGCTTAATCTTCTTAGTGCAGTGCTTTAACCCGCTGCACCACCAGGGAGGGCCCAAACTCACTTTTTAAAGTAGTTTTCTATCCTCCTATATCTAAATGTTTCCTTTTCCTGGGTTAATTCACATTAAGAAGCATCAGTGAAAATTATCAACCCATTTTCTAAGTAATTTTGTTATTTGACAAAGCCAGACATAAAAAATTGCCTTTTCTTGATGCTGTTTCTTTCTTAAGATTGGAAACCATTCTACCATCATGTGACTGCCTGTGACAAGTGGTCTTAGACTAACTATCCCATCAGCTGGTTGACATGAATGAAGCCACCTGAGACCACCAGCCCAGTCAAGCTGTCTCAGACCAGAATTTGGGACTGTGAAAAATAAGTGATTAAAATCTCTAAGTTTGAAGCTAATTGTTATACAGGGATAGGTGCAATGTGTGTTCTTTATAAAAATTTCTTGTAATAAACTTGAGATGTTCAGAAATTACAGGGTAATAAACTTAGTATAAAAATAATATGTTAATCAGCAACGACATAGTCCTTTTTTCTTCTAGAAACAAAGCAGATATCCAACCAAAAAAGCCTTAATTAGATGCCAACTAGGTAAAGCCTATGATAGGCACCAGTTATGTTTAAGTGAGGTTATGCATACATTCCTGTTAGCAGCATCTACAGTTAAGAATTTTGCATCTTTAAGTGCTTAAGTACATGGCTGTGGTAAATGTTCATATTTATCACTTGAATGTTTGAATCCAGCTGTATTGGACAAACTCTCAAACACTGAAGACTTACTCCTGGCTTAGGTATCTTCTCGAATTCCTTCAGTATGAGGCTTTTTTCTTCCTGTAAGCTGAAAAAGAAAAAGTGAAGTTTGGCAAAGTACCAAAGAGTAAGCTAGTTCAGAAGTAGTAACTTTTTCTCACAATGCTCTTTCTATGCTGTTTATCAGATCTGATGCCCATTCTTTCTTTCTTTCTTTCTTTTTTTAAGATTTATTTATTTGTGCATACAGAACTGGGGTACAGGCCAGAGGTTCAGGGGCGGCAAGAGGCTTCACCAGAGACAGAGTGGGGAGCAGAACAGGCAGATCGATGAAGTACACTGCTGAGGGGAGCAGCGGGCAGGTCAGAAGAGGTCTGCCACACCATGTGGTCACCTCCGGGGCAGGCGGGAATCGAACTCATGTGGAAGTGGCTTTAGCTTCTCAGTACTGTGCTTTAACCCGCTGCGCCACCAGGGAGGGCCTCTGGTATCCATTCTTTAGGAAAGCTTTCCCGACTCCTAAAGCCCTATTTATGTGCTCCCTCTCCACCCCTCCCACACAGTAAGGTATACACATGCAATTAAAGCAGCCAACTCTTATGTTATACATGCTTTGGGGTATGCCCTTCCTGCAACCTCAGACTTCTTTCAGACAGGCTCTGGGCTTTCTCTTCTTTACATTAGTTGTAGTGAATTAGTGCCTGCCTGGATTGGTGCAACAGCCTTTACTAGCTCCATAAAAAAAGCAGATCCCACCAGCCAGTAGGTCTGGTTACATGGAGCTAAAGAGGTGCGTGCTTTTATTTTCATGAAATTTTTACCTGCAAAATGTAAAGTAAGCTTACTGTGATAGATATGTGCCATATGGAATTTAATATATGTTGGATGTCTGGACCACTAGCTGAGGCTGAATATTTCACATCTTTGAATCCTTATGCCTTTGCTTTTAGACGTTACCTGTAAATTGCATTATTTAGCTCTAAGTCTGCTGCATCTACACCTCAGCAATGCTACCACCAGGGGGTGGTAGTGTGCTGCCGTCTTTTGGTTGTAAAGGTATCAGGTGGCTCCCAGAGTTTCAAAATGGTGACATGAAGCTCTCTCACAAGACAGTATTTTCTTTAAATAAATATAAAATGATTTTTTTCTTTAAACACACATAAAGCAAGTAATTTTTAGGACATTATTGACAAAATACATTTCTTTAACATATTTCTACCTTGTATTTCTCTTTTAAAGAAATATTATTTTTTTTCTTCTAAGATGTAGATTTTTCTATTTATAGAGAAATCTACCATTCATAGTATAGCCCTCATCATATTACAGTTGCTTATGTTATTTCATTGTATGTTTCAATAAAATTTTGTTAAATGTGTATACATGATTGACTTCTTATGGATAAAATATTTTCTAAAGTTGCAAAATAGACTTAATAATTCATAATTTAATAGTGAAGTCTCAAGGTTTTCTAATAGGTACATGAACCACTATAAAATAATCCTAAGAGTTATCTATCATATACTGAACCAACTATATGAAGAAATGAAGAAACCAAGCAGTTAAAAACACATTTTCCAAAGCCACACAGTTAAGGCTGAACTCACGTTCAAACCTAATTCTATCTTATTCCAGGGAACTTTCAGTATCAAACTGTACTCAGGAAAATATTATTTAATATTCCATTATTTTTTAGAATTAGACTGCTTTCAGTTTTTCATCTTTATAAATAGTAATATAAAACCATTTTTATAAGTTAAAAATGTTTAATTTTTTCCCCTTTGGATTCTTATTTTTGTATTACAAGGATTAACATTTTGTGTGCCTGCCTTGATTAACTAACTCATAACTACATTTTGATCTGACATTAAAATTTTAATGTCTGACACCCTCAGCTTTCCTGATGTAGGGGATACTTCAGTGTCAATCCATGTAAGGATTAATTACTTTGCTGCAGCAAGATAGTCCTAACTAAAACCCTATCGTTGAAGGTTTTAGTTTTAAGGACATGAAGGAGAGGAGAGAAAGCAGGACGCCCTTTATGCTGCGATGTGCAAGAGCTATCATTTACCATCAGGTATAGCACCAGTGGAACATGTGGGATTGCAAAACGGTAGATTTCAGAACCCAAACAAGTCTTAGACCTTGGAGAGTAGGCTGGCAAGGCTGTCTGCTTTACCTCGAAGGCTGTGAGCTCCTCACACGGCGGGTGTTAAAGCACTGTGTGAGCGCTTAGACTAGTCAGGCTGAGAACCACCTTTGGGACTGACAGTTCTCAAACTCTGATATGAATTGGAATCACAGGAGGCTTGTGAAAAATTCAAATGGCACCTACATTTGGAGAAACTTGGACAGAATTTGAAATCATTCATTTCAGGGTTGGAGGAACCTTTTAAACAAGTTTCTGAGGTGCTTTTCTTTCAGTTATGAGATTACACCCTACAAAATGTATTCTTAACTCATTCTGGTTTTGGATGCCACAGAGGAAGCAGGGAAGATTTTAAAAAAGAAGAAGTGTTTAGTACCAGCAGAGGCTGCAGAAACTATACTAGCTCTGGAAGAGTGCTTGGGCACTAAGGCCAGGATCACATCAGGACAGGCCTGGCCGGGGAGCAGCGCCCAGAGGCCTCTCTCACCGCCTTGTCAAGTTGGACAGCGCCTGTCCCCCACCCCACCTCCACAGCCATGTTTCTCCAGCTGACTGAGACTTGTCAGGACGCGTCAGATTTAGTATGTCACACACAATTTGTTTGCTACCAACATTTTAGGAATTAATAAACTAGAGAATAGTCCCCCAAAAGTGACAAAGTGAAGCAAAGGAAAATGTTGAGAAATTTATTAGAACATCTTTTCACAGAAAGTTTGTAGAAAGATAATGACTTCTACTTTGCTTCAGAATAAGTTCTCAACAGTACTTATTTAATTATAATATATTTAACTTATTTTACTAGGCTGCATAGTCATTACTGAACTACATATTTATTGAGGTCATCCATGAATGTTTGCCCCCAAATTGAAACTATTGTAACCTAGATTTAATTTTTAGCTGACCATCAAACTTCGCTTACCATTAGCATTTGTTAAAGAGTTTTTAATTATGTGAAAATGTGAGAAAAACCAGCCAAACTATAGAGTAAAGTATATTTTGTAAAGTACTTGAACAATGTGTTGTTATAGTAGTTGCCAGTTATTCTGAAGTTCCTTATGATGTCAGGATGGATAACTTGGTTATTTGGGCTTCTATTATTTAGAGCCTGAATTAAAAGTTTGTTAAGCTGATCTGGAAAATATGTGGAGAAATGAATATTTGGAGAAAAAATTTCCCCAATGCCTTAATTTATTTTTTGTGGGGATAGAAATATCTACTTTTGGTATCCCTATTACTTTTATGAAAATAAATGTGTTAATTCTTGAACAGGTGGTTTTTGAAAATGCAAGGGAGTCTGCTCAAGCTCAAGTATTATGTGTTACAAGCCCATAGATAATACATGCTACACTTCTCCCAAGTGTGCAGTTTGAATGTTCTTATTCACTGCAGGTCACCATTCACGGCCCCTCCTCACCCCCAAGTGACTCGAACAATTTGCCTGTCTATACCTAAAAGGCAAGAGTTCTGTTTTTTCTTTTTCCTTGGCAAGAATACTTGGAAATTTTAAACAATTTAAATAGCAACTGATTATGCTCTACTTACCCTTTCATGGAAATGTCAAGCATTCATGTTTCCAATACTAATGAACAACCACCAATTGTTTTAATTTCATTATTTTCTCAACTGAAAATGCTTACAGGGCACAGAACTAGCTAAGCTCTCTTTTTATAGAACTCACTGGTAAGCCTGAAACAAATGTAGATGGAAAGACAAAAAAGAACTCAAATTCCTCATCTATGCAATCAAGGAAAAAAACTAGACTTTGTAATAATTTTAGCATTACAGTCTCAAACTTACTGTACCTAAAACTACTTCTCACTTTGGTCTAGTTTTCTAATTTCATGTGGAAACACCGTTGCTTGTGTCTGTCTTCAGTGCCGGACAGAATTGTGTACTTACCTATTTAATCTGTACTGGTTGTGGGACTCTCTTTCTTTTGCTGCATTATATTCATTTTGGTACTTAAGAAGTTGTTCTCTCATTTTGGAGACCTCAGTGGTGAAAGCCTCTGGAAAGTCATCAGCTTGCTGTAGGTGGAACTGCTGCTGTTGTATTTGCTCAGTGTAGCGCTTGGCATCCTGCAGTAGCTGGATCTCTGACTCTTGTGTGCTGCGTTCATGACAATAGCGATTAGCACAATGAGAAGATCACACCTCCCATACGGCTCCTTCCTTCTTCACAGCCCCATGCTTAGTCCTCACCCCTAAAGGAGACCCCACATCCCATGGTTGGCCCTGCCTGCCAGTGTCTGTACATAACCTCTCAATACTCAGGAATTAGAGCATGCAGGTGCAAAGTTTGGGGTATTCTTTTTCAATATATTTCATACTTTTTAGCTGAGAGAAAACCCCATGGCATTCTTAGGGCACACTTTAAGGCTCTTTGCAAATACAAGTAACACTGCAGCATTTCTCATGGTCCGAACAGCTCTAACCTACAGCCACCCGGCTGCCGATAGCACTTCCTCCTTGCCTGACGCAGAGCTCAGCTCCTGCACCCCAGTGACAGCACAATGCAGGAACAAGGCAAGGGCAGTTTCTTCCTACTTCCAGGTTGTGTTGCAAAACCTTTGCTTCCCTTTTGTCCCCTTTTTGTACACATTTGTACACATTTTGTCCATTTAGTTGTCTCTCCTGTCATTACAAACCCCACCACACTCCCAATCCCACTGTCTGGTGGGTGGAAAAGGTGTGAAGAAATGGGCTGTCTCAGGGTGGATAGGGGTGGAAAGGCTGCACTGATGAATCGGACTGTTTTCCATAGAAACCGCATTATGAGAGTTGTTCAGTTCTCTTCTTCTGACCTTATATTTCCAGTACATATTGTTAAATCACCACTTACGTTCTCATTAGAATGCTAGTTTACTTTAATTTATTCCTAGTTTCCTAGTAAAGTGTCATTTGAAAACATTCTATATTTTCTTAGTTCAAGGAGGAAGATTTTCCTATAATCAGGTCAGGAGAATTCATGAATATGAGCAAGCCCAGGGCAGTTGAAGGGCGGGTCCCCACTCTTCTTATTTCCCCAACCTTTGCAAGTCAAGACAAAGCTAAGGGCTCTGGAGGGTTGTTGGGATGGCTCTGGGTGGGTATGAAGCAGGGTGGAAGAGAAGGGGACAAGGAGGGGTGGCTCTGTGCTCCACGGTGTTCACTCTGCACTCATGCTCCTCTCCTCAAAGTGGTTGGTTGTCTACGGGCAAGATGAGAAGTAGGGTTAATGGCTGGGGATTGGTGGAAGGATGGCTAGGAAATGGCAGGATGGAATTTCTATCTATTGCTGCTCCTCCATGGCCTGTGATGAAGATATTATACAGGGATATGAAGCAGAAGCTGGGGAAGAGGAAGAGGAGGCTTGAGTGTGGTATGGAGTAGCAGCAGAACACAAACCTCCCCTTCTTTCTTCATTCTCCTTCCCCCTTGCTTCCCAATGGCTGACAACAGGATACCTTGTTCAATTATTTTGTGGAAGCCTATTTTTCTAACCTGCTTCTGATTGGATCTTGGCTAGGGAGTAGCCTGGGCTAGGAGGAAGGGGTGAGCAGTAAAGACAGAAGTGTCAGCACACCGACGCGGGTTGTTATGGAACCTTACTTCTGAGTGGCAAAGAGCTGGAGGGGAGCATTTTTGCAGAAGTGCCCTTAAGCAGAACACTCCTAGTATCAGTGTCCCTCCAAGACCCATTGGCCCGTAGGGGTGGGGTGGTTACCCACTGCTCTGTTGGACAATTACCACACACACCAACAACACCTGCCTGCCTGCCTCTGCTGAGAGCTCTTGTGGTCAGTAGGAGAATGCTTGGCCTCTCAAAGGGCAAGCTAGAAGTGTGTCAAGCTTATTCCCCCTGCCCCCAGCAAAAAGGGATGGAAACGAGTGGACAGATATCCTAGTTTCCTCACCCTCCAGTTGGAAAGTTCCAACATGTGTTCTCAGAGAGTCACTCAGAGAGTCCTCAGCAAAACTGAGCCCCAGTTGCCTGAAAGGTTAACCCACAAAATTAACATATGCTCAGCTAGATCCCTCCCTTTCCAGTCTCACTTCCCCACTCTCTCACGATAATTTCTAGTATCACTTCTCAAACTACTTGAAGTCAAATCTTTACGTTAGAGACTTTTGGGACAGTTCATTTTACATCATAAGAAAAAAATATAAATATGATAAAAGATGTCTACACATCAGAAAATAACATACCTTATCACAGTGTCATGCAGCAAGGTGTACTTAGCTTTCAACTCAACCATTCTGGTTCCAGGAAGCTTTCCCATAGCATGCAACTAGCAAAGAGAACACAGATCATTATTAGCCATCACTTCCTATAGAGAAGATAAAATGGAGAGCGGATGGGTATCTTATGAAACTTCAGTTAAACATTGGAGAGGAAATGTGTAAGGCAATGTGATATATTAGACAGATGCTAGCTGTTTGGAGAGATTAGTACTAATTCTATTTCATCCCCGGGTAAGCTCTGTTAAGGGGCAAGTCTTACTTCTCTAGACTGTGATTCTTCATCTGTAAATTCAGGGAATTGGGTTAAAATTTTCCAATTCCAAAGAAAACATTTCTTTGTTTAGCAAAAACCCTGAATCAGTGTGGATTAGTAGAAAACTGTAAGTTGAAAGAACTGAAAATTATTGGGCATCTATTACAAACAAATGTTGTGCATCAATGATTTTAATCTCAAAACTGGTTTTGCAAAGTCAGGGTTACTTCCATTTTTAAACTGGAGTTGAGATAAGTTATGTCATTCATTCAGTTACAGAACTAGTTAAAGGCAGAGGAAAGAATTTTAGACCAAGTGAACCAATTTTAAAAATCCATGATCAATTTATTGTACCTTGATGCTTCTGCCTCTATCATCCAAGAAGCAAGAAGGTTTACCCCATACATAAAGAGCTATTATTTTTTGCTTTTCATTGCTACTAAAAGAATTTTTGATTTATTGACTTAAATTGTGAGTGGTTAATAGACATCATAACACAACATCAAACACTGATGCTTCACCATAATACAAAGAGCATCTGTGTAAGGTTTGGCTCACTGAACTGCCAGTGACACAGTATCAAAAAATAAAACTAAGGAGAGGATTTGTGTTTTTCAGTGCCCTGTTCCTCCACAGTGTCCACTTTCATCTTCCTTCCCTGATCACCCTAGTCCAAGTCACATCCTCTTTTGGCTGGACTACTACAAAATCTCCAATTTGTCCCTGTCTGCTTTCCCTCATCACTTTGTGCTAACTCTTTCTTTATAACTTCAATCCATAAGGACACCATCTCTGCCTTCTATATTCCTAATACACCATGCACCCCCAAAGAACTCAGTTCTTCATAATCCATATTAAAATCTGCAGTAAAAAAAAAAGAAATTCTGTTGTTAGAGAAATGTTTCTCCTCAACTAGTGTGTGAGCACCATGAGGAAGGGGCTGGGTTTAGTTGTTCTTCACTGGCTCCACAGCCAGTAGAATCACAAGTACCTGTAGATGTTTGGTAAACTTTTGTTGAGTGAACAAATGAATGAATATGACTGACAGAAGTGCATGCCTGAGTCTACACAGGAGGTTTCCCCTCAGGGCAGAAAAACACTGTTCAGTGCACCAAAAAGCCACTCTTCTCTGTGAAAGTGTTTGCAATGTTTCAAAAAGGCTATACAAGATTCCAACAGCATAACTCTCCTTTTTTTTTTAATGTATGTGAAAAATATGGTGCACAGGATTTTTAAGACCATAGAAGCCTTGCATCAAATATGTTAAATGTATTTATATGCTACTATAAATATAACTTATATGTAATTTTTTAAGTTTTGAGTTGTTGCTAAGCTGACTGAATATTACATTTTAGATATTTAACTAAATACACGTATTTTGCTTCTACAGTTTTCTGTTGCATTTTTGAGCCAATAGGTAAATTTATTTCAGGTCTCAAACACTTTAAATGGTTCCACAAAAGGATGTAGGCTATAGGCAGTGCACTTTAATGTCTAACAGGCTAAAAAAAAAAAAAAAAAAAACCTTTTCATAATAGGCATTCTTAAGAGAGAAAAGTTTCAGGGAAAGCTACACATGTATTTGTGTAAAATAAAGACCTGCAGGGGGTCAGTCTTGTAACTAGCCAACAAGGTAGGAGGTAAGCCACTGGGTAAGGTAACTATGGACTCGTAGGTACAAAAATACATAATAGTACTTAGCTTTGCTTTTATGCTGAAAAGACCATTACCTTCCACCCACTGCACTATATTATACACACAGAACTGCAGGTGAAAAAGGCTTTACGCTAAGGTGACTCCCAGTTTGAGAAGATTAACACAAAAAATCACTGAGCTGCACTCCGTTGTTGATAAATAACTCAATTTGGTATTTTGAAATTATTTTCTTTCTTGTACATTAAAGCAAACATGTATATTTACAAGTTACACACCACTTCCAGGGGGTGGAACTATTAAAATAATGGTGTGAAGAGTTGATGAATAAATTCTCTCCCTCAAAGAAATATTGATTACATTGGCTAAAACTATCTAAGTCAATCACTTAAAGTTCCTGGAAATTGGCCTAGAGGCACGCACGACATTGAGAAACACTCCACAAGGTCAAGGAAACTCCACCACCCTACTTTATGCAGTGAAATATTGCCCTGAGCACCTAGGCAGCCCATGATGCGCCCACCTCCCCCACCTGCCCATGGTACTCAGGAGGATGGGAAGCTCCAGAAACTGCTGCCCCCACCCTCACCTTTTCCCCCCAGCTCTGAGTGGCAGAAGCTCTTTACTGGGCCGGCAGCTGTAGCAGTTCCTCAGCGCCCATCCCCATTGCCCAGAGCCGGCTGTAAAGGGAGTATCCCACCCACCATGAATGAGTCCGGGTTCCTCCAGTTCCTGAGGCTCAGGGTGGGGCAAGTAAGCTGTGGAGCAACAACTCTGCCTAAGAGCGCTGCTTTATTTGGAACAGAGAGTAGCATGTCCCTACCCCAGAGCATTGTAAAAAACAATAGCCAGGCCCTCCCTGGTGGCGAAGGGGGTTAAAACACAGCACAGCATGAGTTGATTCCCACCTGCTCTGGAGGTGACCATAGGTGTAGCAGACCTCTCCTGACCCACCCGCTGTCCCCCACCCCTTAGCAGGGTACTTCGTGGATCTGCCTGTGCTGCTCCCCACACTCTCCCTGGTGAAGCCTCTCATGGCCCCTGAGCCTCTGGCCTGTACCCCAGTTCTGTATGCACAAATAAATCTTTAAAAAACAAAACAAAACAAAACAAAAAAAACAATAGGCAATGTTAGGGTCGTGGCTGAATGCTTAGTGATACCAGCAGAGGCAAACCAGCAAAAGTTTGACCGAGAAATTGGAGCTATATTGTCAAGCACTCAGAGGGCCCTGTAAATTTTCTCTGTACTGTGGAAAAGCTCAAGGCTGTAACCACTCAGGAGGGACCAGGAAGTTTACTACTCATTCCTGAGTTAAAGGCAAGACTGACAAACAACAAATTTTGGAAATGGTTACCAAGCTGCATACTGACTCTATAAAAAAAGGATATAAATGTTATTGGCTCAGTATGGAGGTTTCCCAAAGTATTAAAAAGGGATCTACCACAATGGCCCAGCAATTCCTTCCAATCCCACTAGTTTATCTACTCAAAGGAAACAAAACACTATTGCATCCTATGTTCATTGCAGCACTGCTTATAATAGCCAAACTATGGAAACAACGTAAGTGTCCAATACAGATAAATGGTTAGAAAGATGTTTATGTATACACTGTAGAATACCATTCAGTTATCGAAACAAGATATAAACTCTTGTCATTTGCAGGAACATGGATAGAGTTGGAGGGGATTATATTTAGCAAAGTAAGTCCAAAAAAGAAAATGTCCTCATTTATGCAACATAGAGAAACCAAACAAAATATCTGATAAAGACGATCTAACAATGATCCCTAGAGCAAGCTGGCTATAGAACTGAGCTACTAGCCTGGAAGGGAAGGGAGAGGGGTAAACTGTAGATGGTAGGGATGGAGGTAGGTGCTTTGCTGGTGGGTGTGGTGTGACAGCAACACCTGAAGGGGAGATCCCATGTCTCTAATTCATAAACAATGATGTAAACCACTGTGAGCTCAATAAAAGCCAAAGCAAACCAAAAAAAGAATTCACTGATTAAGCAGTATCTGGTTACTAACCTATGTGGATGCAGGGTCAGCCGCCAGCTTAAAAATAAAAACAAGGAAAGGATAGCTAAGCAGAGCTATCAGAGGCTGTACACGAAGGGAGAAATACGCTTCACAGAATCAGTCCAATTAAATCATTAAAGAAATAAACATCTGAGCAACAATAACAAAAACAAACCAACCAACCCTCAGCAATAATAAGAAGCTCAGGGAGCATCAGAGTCCAGAGTTGCTTTGTTGTTTAAAATGTCTAATTGTGAACACAAATGATGAGACACACAAAATAGGGGGAAAAGACATTTGTGTACAGATGTTCAGCTTAATAAAGACTGCAAAGCAGGTGTTATATATGTGATCAAAGAATGAAAGGAAACTATAAAGAATAAAAAGAGAGTAGGAGATGATCAAATAGACAATATCAATAAGGTATTGAGACAGACTGGGTAGCAGAACAGGCAGATGTACTGAAATACACTGCTGAGGGGAGCAGGGGAAGAGAAAGGAGAGGTCTGCTGCGACATGGGGGTCACATCTCTGGCCAGGGATCAAACTTGTGCTGCAGTGGCTGAGGCTAGCTTTGTAGTACTGCTCTGTAACCTGTTGTGCCACCAGGAAGGGCCCAATAAGAAGATATGTAAATGATGTTCTTTCAGTAGTAAGTTTATATGGGTTTTATTGAAAGACCAAACTGACGCCATGACAGGCTTTAGAATGCTTCTGAACCAGCTAGGTTTAAGTTTAGGTTAACAACAAGGCGCCAAGGCCGAGTTTAACTGTAAATATCCTAATCTTGCTCATCCCATAGCCACAGCCGATTAGGAAGCAGGCAAGTAACCAGTGCATATTAGGAAAACGCCAGATGTCCTAAGGTATGCAGGCCGAGTAGTGAAGGTCACATCTTACATGCAGAGATCAACCGGGTTAAGACAAGTTAACTTTGTTCAATGTCCACCAAACAATGTACTGCTGAGCAAAAACTCCCCTCTGCTGGGCTGAAACTCCCCTCTTCTGTAATAAAAACCCTGCCTGCCCTGAGCTCAGGGCTCTCAACTTCGGCTGCTGCGTCGCTGCATGTTGGGAGCCCAGGCTCGAGCTTGCAATAAAGACCCTCGTGTGCTTTGCGTCG